AAAAAAAAGAACAATACCCTGCATGCTGTCTTTGTGCATCAAAAATAAGAATAGCTATGTCTTTCTACGGTTGCGCTTGACTCTTGTCCCAAATATACGACCTCTAGCAAAAAGTGATGATGGGCAGGGTCTTATATCTCAAACTCCTGGTCTAACCAATGCTTCACGACCACCTGGCCTTCGTCAAATCCCCTCTTCTTGACTCGAATGATGATAGCGGCGTGGCTATGCCGATGGTTATGGATCCAGACCGGGAACTTCCGGAAGCCCACCGAGTTCAGCGAATCGATGATGGAGAACTGCGCCGGAGTCAGTGCCAGGGTGGGGAATTTCTCGCTCGCAAAACTGTCGGTCGTGCTGCTGCGCCGGAGCAGCGGCTCGATGTCGTCTTCATCGAGTTTGCTTTCCAGGTCCGCCGCGGATGAGGTTGTTACTAGACGTCTCTTGGGTGCGTCGGATGTCTTCTTATTGGATGTGGTGGTGGTAAAAGACAAATAATCGGGCTTCTGGCGAGCGCCGGCGCTCTCGAAGACCTCCTCGACGACGTGCTGGACCTCGTTGACTAGGACGGGCACGCGGTAGCGGTCGAAGATCTTGCGCGAGTGTGCGGCCTCGTGGTGGCGGATGCGGCGTTGGCTGCGGAAGTTCTGGACCACTGCGTTTAATAGGAATAAGGGCACGCCGATGATGACGAAGGCCGTAAAGAGGGTTTGGAAGGGCAGGTTCGTGAAGAAACTGGCGACCTGGCGCTGGAACTGCTCCAGCCAGGACGGACGCAGGGGCTGGACGACGGTGACGGGCTTGGTGGCATCGATGATGACGGGCTCGTACCCCTCCACGTAGTCGAACTGTACATTCTCCAGGTCCTCGAAGGGATTGATGGCTGAGATGGCGGTGGTGTAGAAGATGGTGGACCGGTCGTTGACGATGTTCGAATAGACGCAGCGATGCTTGAAGGTCTTCAGCGCCTTGATGAAGATGCTATCCGGATCCGCCAGCACACTGAGCAGCGGGCGCCCCGTGTCGCGAAAGGTGTCGATCATGAACAGCTGCTTCCCCGACATGGAGATCGTCCGTGGCCCAACATTGTTCCACAGGAATCCCCAGGTTCCCTTCAGCGGGAAGCGCACCCCGACGTGCGGCGAGACGAAGGTGGTGAAGTTGACGGGCTCCAGTTTGTCGAGCCACCCCCGCGCGTAGAGCAGTCCCAGGGCGTATCGCGCCACCAGCCCTCCGAGCGAGTAGCCGACGACACTCAGTTTCCGGATGTTGTGGCCTTCTTCGGCGAGTCGCTCCAGGGTCTCCTCCACCTCGTGGGCTAAGCGCTCACCGCCAAGCTCAATGCCATCGTAGGTGTAGTTTCCGGAGTTGCGCTTTGCGGCGAGGATGTGGAGGCGGTCCTCCTTGTATCGGTCTCTCAGGGAGGTGGCGATGAAGTCCAGGTGGGAGGGATTACCCCATAGTCTGACGTGACACGACGGTCAGCAGAAAATCTCGTTGTCTGCATTAGTGGAATGGTCTTCTTACCCATGCACCAACACGCAGAGATGATCGGCTTTGCGCGACGTCTCAGCCGGCGTCCGGCCGTTATCAAGCTCCAGCTCCATAGTCAATATGTGGAAGTCAAGAGTTTCCTCTTGCGATCAGGGTCAACGGGCGGTTTAAGTAAGACCTCCTCAACATTATCCGCCAGACTCCGCCGGATTTAGGCACGGTTTTATCGCGATTAAAGGGGCCATGTGGCTGCTTCCTTCGTTGTCCGACCGTCAAGCATAAGTTCCCTAGCAAAGGGGAGCCCAGCAAGCGCTGACTCAGCCCGATAACGAGACGTCATCGCCGGTGCCTGATGCAATGAATGGCCCAGAAGGGCCGGTGGCAGTTCATATCAGGTGTCTCGGGCTGGCTCTACATGGAGCTGGTGAGGCTGAGCACTGCGCAAAACACATCCAGTCAAGTCACTGCCGTCTCTGAGCCCCCGAATCTTTCAAATGATGGATGGTGATTGAGGTTGAGGATCAGCAAGAGGATGCGCCTTTGTCTGTTCGTGTCTGGTGTTTGCATCATTTGCACCGCGTTCATCTCCAACACGTGCAGTCAGTCTAGCCTTTGGACGCTTTCCCTTTCGACATTCCACTCAATATTCCCCTTGTTTTTCGGATCAATGAAGGACTGAAGACAAACTGGCTATCTTGGCTAGATGCTGAGCAATAATTCCCTGCTCGCTCACATCCCAGTTCGACATGATCTTCTGTTTTTAGCTCCAGGACTAGCCGCATCGCTTCTCCCCCGCGGCATGCCAAATACCGAGTCATTTATCCATACAAGAGAATCGCAGCGCCCGATTGGTCTCTGCTTGGGTGCTTGCTGTGTTGCAAAGAGTATTGGTTGTCAATCTTCTGGACTATGATCTCTCATCTTTGCCTGTATCTCTCCTTGAGCATCTTATCTTTACCCCCCCCCTCACAATGTTCGCCCCCCTCGGCTTGTTTAAGGACATACCTTGTCCGGAGGGCCAGAGCTGCTCCCTCTTGACTTGCATGTTCTCTCACAAGGATCTCACTCCAATTGATGATAGTCAAAACATCACCTCGGCTGTTATCCATTCATCAACTACGAAGCATGGAAATGCCGCGTCGTTCGGGAATTCCGCCCACACAATGTCAGCCGCCGCAGATACGAATGAGAGAGAACCGAAGATCTTGAAGAGGGATCCTCCACCAGCCCCATCCAAAGCTGCAGGCTCTGGGCCAAATGCTTCGGCCAAGTCTTCACCTGCGCCTCAGCCGCTGGTGCCTTCACAGCCGGTCAAACTACAGTCACTGTCTCGAAGGGTCTCTCCGCCACCGAAGCCAGCATCAACAGCAGTTAAGACGAATGCGCCTACGCCTGCAAAGCCCCCGCCGAGGCAGGCTCCCCGGGAAAGTTTGAATCCCCGCATGTTGACGAAAGCGCCCGCGCCGCATGGAACTAGATTGTCCATCCTAACGAAACTGCATGCTGCCATGTCTGCGCAGAACGAGAAGATCGCCAAGGACAAAGACAGTAAAGACAAATGGCTTGTTCTCACGCCCAATGAGCTCATAACAATGGCGCTGGACGAAGAGGAGAAGACCGCCCGAGGCAATCCGAGCATATACGCTAATGTCATCAAGCTTCGCATCGTCCGGTTCCTGAAAATGACTAAAGAGGAATGGACGACGGAGGTCAAGAATCACCTGAACGAGCGGTACTACAAAATCGACCCCAACGCGGAGCAGTCGAGGCCGCAGGGTTTTACTACGGGGTTGAGCGCAGAAGCGGAGATTGCACTGGCAAGTCAGCTGGTTACTCCAGTTGAAGGGCTCGAACAATTTGGATATGTCACAAAGGCACCTTCAGCTGCGGAAATCGAGAGTGCCAAGAAAGGCGTCGCGGAATCGAAGGGCTGGGAGAAGTGTGATCGGTGCGGTGGGAGGTTCCAGGTCTTTCCAGGCCGTCGCGAGGATGGTTCTTTGACGTCTGGGGGAGAATGTGTTCACCACCCTGGGAAGCCGTTCTACCCTCCAAGAAGACAGACGGATCATATAACAGGACACAAGGAAGCTTACTATTCATGTTGTAATGAGACGTTGGGTACTTCTTCTGGCTGCACCAGAGGCAAGACCCATGTCTACAAGGTTTCAGAAACCAAACGACTTGCTTCTGTTCTCCAGTTCACGGAGACGCCAGCTCAGCCATTCAAGGGGCCACTTCCACCGGTCTGCTTCGACTGTGAGATGGGCTATACCACGTTAGGATTGGAATTGATCCGACTGACCGCGGTCAGCTGGCCTCACAGCAAGCCACTTTTGGATGTTCTCGTCAGGCCGATGGGGGAAGTATTGGACTTGAACTCGCGTTTCTCTGGTGTCTTTCCTGAACACTACACCAAGGCTATGCCCTATGATGGTTTCCAGAAGGAGCCGGAAGCGACACCACATGAGAATGATGAGGCAGAGGAGCCGACCTTGAAGGTTGTCGATTCGCCGGCTGCAGCCCGTGCTCTGCTATTTAGTCACCTTCAACCGGATACGCCTTTGATCGGACATGCGATCGACAACGATTTGAATGCTTGCCGGATAATCCACCCGACAATCATCGATACCGTTATGCTATATCCCCATCCGCGCGGATTACCGAATCGGATGAGCCTGAAGACCTTATGCCGAAGACATCTCGACCGCGACATACAAACAGGCGGTAGTCTTGGTCATGATTCGAAAGAGGATGCAATTGCTACAGGTGACTTGGTCAGAGTCAAGGCAGTTGAGACCTGGAAGGTCCTGAAGTCGAAAGGCTGGCAGATCCAAGGCGACAAACTAGTGCCCCCACCGGGGACAGAGAAGGCTGAAACTGGATCATCAGCGGGGAGGCTTGGACCCGGTGCCGGTCACAAGAGAACGAATGCTAGTCTAGGCCCTTAAAGTAACGCAGTTGATACAAGCCGCTATCCTACAATTATCCTTATATAATGTGATACCCATCCTACGTCTACGTGCCAGGTAAAAAAGAGGTTGAGATATAGGTTTGCTTCATTGATTCATATCTACCATTCATAACGTCATGAGTAGATCGAGCGACGACAAACCCAGCGGATGAGTGTGGAGGTCGCCTTTTCAGGTGTAGAACGTCCACTGCCTCGAATCCAGACTGAGCGAGAAGCCACGCAGGAATCCCTCCCAATGCGCACACCCATAATCTCCAACCAAACTCATCCATCCTGATCCCGGTGCATGAAAAATTTGACATTTTGCAGAACCCCCAATAGCCGGAGTCAAGTGTCCAAGTCTGATCATTTTTCCGCTTTTTTTTTCGGTTGTCTATTTGCTGCTTCTAGAAGGAGAGAGAATTTACTCCTCATCCTCCTCACCCTCGTCGTTGACGACGTTGTAGAAGCGGAGCTCGTAGACACCCTTGGAGGTGGAGACGACGCGGAGCCAGTCACGGAGCTGCTGCTTCTTGAGGTACTTCTTGGTGCTGTTGAGAGGTGAAGAAGACTGAATCAGCGATTCGCTCTCGCCTAAACTTTCGGAAAGGTAGACTTACAGGTACTTGAGGTAGCGGCCAGAGAAGGGGATGTGGGCAACAACCTCGATCTTGCCCTCACCAGCCTGGGAGATGACGACCTTGTCGCCGAGGTTGCCGACACGGCCCTCGACCTTGATGCGGTCGTGGAGGAACTTCTCGAAAGCAGAGAGGTCGAAGATCTTGTCGCTCACGGGCTGGGAAGCGTTGATGACATACTACAAAAAGTAAAGATTAGCTTCTTGCCTTCCATATTGAAAGTTTCATGTCGCGGGTGTTCAAACATACCTTCTGGGTGACCTTCTGGGCCTTGCGACCACGAGCCTGTTGTCGGGGGAAAAAAACCATTAGCCTACTGCTCCATGATGGCGAAATCCCAAGAGAGGTTCATGTATCCACGATCCCAGAGATTTTTTTCAATCTTCTTTTCCGTCTGGAATTTTCCAGCGCCAGCGCCAGCGCCAGCGCCATCATGTCCAGACAATCATGGATATATGAACTCTCATGGGGGAACAGCAAAGCGATTTGTGGAAAGGAAACATACAGCAACGGGAGCCATTGTGACTGTAGGGGGGGGGGATTTTCTCGGGGGATAGAGAGAGAAAGTAGCTGGTCGCAAAGAGGTGAGTATCCTGCGCCTGATGGGAGTTGGGGGGGAAAGAAAGTCCGCTAGGGTACGGGATGGTCAGATCTCGCTGCTGAGGGTCGAGTGCGCCCCACTAATCCCCTTCTGGCAATGTGGATAGGGCTTGATTTTGTTGATTAGGGCTACCGCTCGTCATTTGACTGGGCTCCAGGAGTTGTGGCCTGGTTATTGAGGCGTTAATCATTTGTCCTGCCTGAGGCAGAAGGTGCCTCGCTTCTGGTCGAGGTAGCCGACGCTAGTGGGCTAGCGACGCACGGGCCACCTCAACCCCAAGATAAATACCTCTCGCAGCCCGCCTCTCTTTAGGCTTTTTTTCTTTTCTTTTCCAGCTCTCTTTGCCTTTTGGCTTAGATCAAGTGTAGTATCTGTTCTTTTCAGTTTAATCTCTGAAAGTGTTCTAAGGAACACAACATTGATTAATCTTATTTTTGTACCCTGTGGTCTGACCTCTGTGCTTGCGCATGTCGGATCACACAGTGTCATTGGGCTTACACTACCCCCAATCGACGCGAACCACCTTTTTTTCATCAATTCTGTCGGCTTGCCGACTGGTTGGAGAAGAAAACATCCTCCTTCACTTGGCGTGAGCCGCAATCTGCAAATCGTAGTTCCTGGTGCCATTCCAGTGTTTTCATCGCTATAGATGTAAATTGAAGCGCCTCGAATCTTCTCCGGAGAAGTAAGACGTTACCCAATCGTCCCCCGCCCACTGCTCTTCCTCATCTGTCTTGCACGTGATCCCGGACTACATTTCTCGTTCGTGACTGCAAAGACTTCCTCGCGAATCTCACGACTATCGCCAGAATCACATCCATAGTTCATCATGGGTTCCGTCGTGTTGCCGCACCTGCGTACCGCTTGGCACGTCGACCAAGCCATCCTGTCCGAGGAAGACCGACTTGTGGTGTGTACCGCATCTACTACTTCCCTCCTTACGACACCCAACTGATAAACCAATGCTCGTAACAGGTCATCCGATTCGGTCGCGACCATGATGTCGACTGTAAGCTCCTTCGTTCTCACCCTCCGTCCTACATCAGCTAACCCTCCGTACCAGGCATGCGTCAAGATGAAGTCCTCTTCAAGATCGCCGAGCGGGTAAAGAGTACGTAGAATCACCCCAGTCCAAACCCCCAGGCACTTCTTTTGGCAGCAAATGATCACTCACACCAAGGCTGTATTGACAGACTTCGCCGTGATCTACCTCTGCGACATCGACGAGGTCCCCGAATTCAACACGATGTACGAACTCTTCGACCCGATGACCATCATGTTCTTCTACCGGAACAAGCACATGATGTGTGATTTCGGCACGGGTAACAACAACAAGCTGAACTGGGTGCTTGAGGATAAGCAAGAGATGATCGATATTATCGAGACGATCTACAAGGGAGCCAAGAAGGGCCGCGGTCTGGTGGTTAGTCCTAAGGGTATGTATTCCTTCTCATCGGTTGTTTGGTTGGGTTACGGGTCGATGGTGATCTATGGGGGATTTGCTCGATGGCTGACTGATCGGGTATGTAGATTATTCGACGAGATATCGTTACTGAGTTGGTTGGTTGTTTGTGTTGGTCGCGGTCTTGGGTGTGGGTGCGTGGAAGGAGGGATGGGAGGTTATTTTGTGTCGTTCTTAGTCTAATGAGTTTATGAAATGGGTAGAGAAGCTGGATATGCAGTTGCCGGCGAATACTGTTTTACAATAGATGGTTGTTGGAATATAGTAGATTGGCTGTAAAAGACCTGTTGTAGTGTTCGTTCGCGATTTAAAGTTATAAACCTAATAGTCAGAGCTCTCCCCGTGATGCAATATATATTGCTCCTAGAGGTCTCACAAGATAGACATACCAACACTCGAATGATCAGACTGCAACAATCTATCACTTTCACATCGAACAGGCCAGAACATTAACCCATCTGCTGCGATTCGTTTTCAAAAATCGTCACAATTGTGAACTAAATCGAGCGAGCGGGAGAATCTCCTTCCTCCCTTCCACCTCTCGCCCCACAATTTCTTTCTCACGGCGTTACCTGACGTAACAATCAAACCCCCTTCTACCACATCTGAGTCGAGACGATCAGAGAGATATCAAACCCCACCAACAATCCCAAAGATCCAGAAAAAAAGAATTAAAATGATCGACCACCAAATCTTCGAGGATCTCCAGTCGAAGATCGACGAAGAGACCGCCGTCCGCGATGTAAGAAAGCGCAAGCTCCGCGCCAAGCCCACCTCCTCCCGGCGAAAAAGCAACGGCGACTGAATAGCCTCAAAACAGGAACTTCATGATATCGTGCAGACGCTGGCACGAAAGGGTACCTATTCCTTCCAAGCTAGAAAGGCTCCCATGGGGCTATATGACGCGAAAGGAACACGTCCTCTGATGACTGGTTACAGGACGATCCACGCAAGCTATTCTTTCGCGTGCCCACTCGACGCCTGCTGGTCAATGTATGTATCTTCAAAATTGGATTCGGGTCCTTGGGGCTTGAAATTTGGGAAGGTAGCTGATAGGGAGACAGTGAACCCCGTTCTTGGCGATGTGACCAAGGCGATCTTCGCTCAGAGAGATGAGGTCTCTCGGCTGAGGGATGTAGCGGATAAGCACCCTTTCTACAAGTACAATGGGGTGTGGACGCGGGAGCTTCAGAATCTGGTGCGTGCGTTTCCTCTGCCTATTCCTCTCCGCTGCTCTCGTTTTGTCGCTGCTGCTGGAGGGGTGTCATGGGGAGAGCCTCGGTGAAGATACGAAGGCTAACCGCCTGACTAGGTCTCGTCGATTGAGCTCTGCGCCTGGCTAGGCGGTCTGGGAGAGTACAAGTCGAGCCCCTCGGCTTCATTCTTGACGATCGAAGAGGTGGGAAAGTTTCTGGGTGGTGAGTTTCTGATGGCTTTATGTCTGGGTAAGAAGGTGTTTTTGTGAAACTGACTATTGCCCACCCCACAGTGCCTGTCAACCTTAAGGAAGAGGATGCTTTCCATTTGACCATTGAGGAATATCTCCTCGCGTTGATTGCTATGGTGGAAGAACTGGTCAATACCCCCCTCCCCCCCCCCCTCAAAAATGTGTCTAAGAATCTGGTACAGTCTCGTCTTGCGGTCAACTCGGTCACACTGGGTGACTACACTCGCCCCATGCAGATCAGCAACTTCATCAAGGAATTGTTCGCTGGCTTCCAGTTGCTGAACCTGAAGAACGATATCTTGCGCAAGAAAAGTGATGGGATAAAGTACAGTGTAAGTATTTCCCGACTGCTGCTGTTGGATGGCATGCTAATTGGCTCGTGACACAGGTCAAAAAGGTGGAAGACGTTGTCTACGATTTGTCGCTGCGCAACTTGATTCCCAAGGATGGTGCTACTGCTTGAGAAGATTATGATTAATTTTATAACTGCGTTGGACGAATCTATCTCAACGACTTTGATGTGTATTCGCAGAGCTCATTCCAGTCTGGTTCATATTAATCAATACACGGAACAAGATTGCTCGTCAGAATCAAAACGAGCATTGTTATTCATGAAAACCACCACCTAAAAGACACAGAACAAACAAGGAAATGGTATCACACTTGAAACGACCCACGCAACTTCCCACGAAACCGAATTAGACTCTCCCAACGTAATCCGACCATCACGTCCTTTAGAGGTTGGCCTCAGCACCCTCAGCAGGAGTAGGCGCGGCAGCCGCCGCCGTAGCAGTAGGAGCTTCCTCAGCAGCAGGAGCAGCAGCACCCGTGGTCTGGGAGGCCAGCTTGCCCTCCTTCCGCGCCTTCTCGATCTCCTGGACGATGGTGTCCTTGAGCGACTCGGGCTTGGTCAGACTGGCCCAGCGGCCGACCACCTTGCCGTCGGCAGAGATCAGGAACTTCTCGAAGTTCCACTTGATGCGCTTCATGCCCAGTAGACCCGGCTGCTCCTGCTTCATCCAGGTCCACACGGGGTGGGCCTTATCGCCGTTGACGTCGAGCTTACCCAGCACCGGGAAGGTGACGCCGTAGTTGAGCTGACAGAAGGACTGGATCTCATCGTTGGACCCGGGGTCCTGGCTGCCGAACTGATTGCAGGGGAAGCCCAGGATGGTGAAGTCCTCCGGGTACTGGGCCTTGAGCTCCTGGTAGAGGGTCTCGAGCCCCTTGAACTGCGGGGTGAAGCCGCACTTCGAGGCGGTGTTGACGACGAGGACGACTTTGCCCTTCACGTCGGTGAGGGGGAAGGGGTTGCCCTTCTCTGTTTGGATCAGAAGAATGAATTAGTGGAAGCAAAGAGGAAATTTGGGAAGCTTTTGCTTTTTTTTTTTTTCTTGGTATGTGGAGCGGTAGATGAGCGGGGAAAGGGGAAAAGGAAAGGTGCAGGACGTACTATCGACGGGCTCGAAGTCGTAGAAAGTGGTAGCGGAAGACATGTTTGCGAAGGATGAACTGAGTCGCAGATGGTGGTGGGTTGGTGAGAGGGTGAAGTATAGTTGTGGTTGTTGTTGTTGTTGTCGCGAAGGACGAGGACGAGGAGGAGTCGCAAAGAAGTAGGAGTTGCTGTTGCGGGGCGGGGAAGGAAGTGAAATGCAGGATTGCGCAGGGAACGAAGGAAGGATTAACCGTGGTGTGACCGATGGTTTATATGTGATGGACACAAGCAATGGCCGGCGCATGGGGGGAAACACTTTTCTCAAACCGTCGGGTTGTTTCTGTACCAACAATCCAGATAATAATTACTTCTCGGATGTTCAATTGATTTGTCTGGACCACACGTCTCTATCGGGGGTCGACGTTTCCGAAATCCGAATGGAGAGTGCTTAGTGGAAAGAAACTACTCCGAGTAAAACTAACTGACTAACTTACTTCAGTGATCAGAAGCAAAAGAAGAAAGAAAGAGAGTAGGACGATGTCATCATCCATCAGAACGGCGGGTCGATCGATGGGAATTGGGTTTGTCATCGTTGGCTGTCCAGAACATCCCCCGGTCCCGGTCCTATTGCTGCTTTGGGAGCCAGATTTCTTTTTTTTATGAACATGAACTGACATATGACCACTTGCTGCCCTTGTCCCCCCCCCCCCCTCTGCGCGGGGCGAACATCCGCAGTGTCTGGTACTAATTTGGAAGTAAATAATGACGGTTGCAGAATTCCAAATACTTTCTCTCCATTAAGCTACCTTACTACTCAATCTAAATGAACTGGACTGGAAATGGCCCGATAGGATTTGAGGGAAAGTGGAGTCTCTACCTAGGCTGACGAGCGTCGACCTTTTTCCGAAGCCCGTCCTACTCTTAGCCTCTGATCCAATTATTCCGCCGGGTCTCGGGCTCCGCTTATTGTCAGCGTTTTCGTGGTTCGGTGCCTTGACATTCGATTTGAAATGTATTGTTGAGGCGGTATTTGAGTCTTATGAAAGGTATAGATGTACATGAAGCCAGCATGTCTTGCATAAACGTCCTCAGACAAATCAACCCGAACCGAACCAGCCGGTCAGACGTATGTCTCCGAGAGGTGAGAAACGAAGAATCTCGTGTCAGCCACCGCTAGGATGACTGGATCCTTGCGCACTAACCGCACATATCTTACTGTACAGCGCCCCCCCCCCGGGCGTGCGCTTTGGGCTTTAGAAGAATCCTCTGATGACCCCAGGGCTTTCTGCAAGCCCCTGCCGCAAAATCCCTAACAAGGCCCGATCGGGCCCGATACCGGATTGCCTGATCACACTGGGTTTGAACGATTCCTTCCTGCCTTTTTGCGTGATGCAGTTGGACCATCTATTGTAAATAGAATTGGCCGGCCAAGTGAATTCTTCGTCCCTTTCACTCTTTGCTCTCTCCCACCCAATGTCGATATTGAGGTAACCCCCCTCGTATCTTCTTTTCTGTCCCAGCGCAAACTCATTTCGCATCCCCCATTTCCAGCGCATCCACATCCAGCTCCTCCATGACCCCAAGCACAACTCCTAGACTCTCCATAAATCCGTTGACTGCGACGCGGAGCATCCGGTTCGTGGTCGCATAGTACGTCGTCTCCAGGACGGTCTTCGCCGCCTCGTCGGCGGCTTGATCTCTATCCGGGCTAGTCAGGGTCAGGGTGCGCTTGACGAAGGGGGAGAGCTCGGCATCGACTTCGAGTGTACGGAGGGCTGACGAGGCGAGGCGGTTGGTTGGGAGAGGAAGGGAGATGGTCCTTTTGCGGCGATTGTCAGAATTTTGTTAAACGCGGGGGGGGGTTGCCTCTAGAGGTTGAGAGCTGGAATTGTCGCGAAGGGAGCTACTCACAAGTTGTAGGGAAACTCGGTGGCTGACACGGAAGCACTCATTTTGGTTTGCGGGACGTGTGAACGTGGTCGGGGTAGGAGGGCAAGCTTGGTAGCTGGCGATGGTTATGGGGCGTGTATTCTGGCCGGGGGATCAGAATCGAGCCAGCCCGCTGAAGCCTGGGCGGGGAGAAGTGGGATGTTCGATAAGAGATGAGTCAGCTTGGTGCCTTAGGTTAATATTCTTGATCTTGGTGCCCATAACATTGCTCGCTTTGGTCAATGTTGTGACGTCTTCAACCTTGAACATGGCTCTTTTCCTGGGGCAAAATAAGGATACTTGATTTACTCAGCAGCATGGCTAGTTTTGCTTCTATAGCTTGTATTTGTGCAATTGGGCAGCAAGCTTAACGCTCTCATCATTGTCTGCCTGGGCTCCATCCAAGAGATGCAAGTCGACCGTTTACATTGGCTACTAAGGCGATTTACATTGGACGTCCTGGGCACCGGTGGGGGAGAATCCCTGTTGGTTGTTGTCGTACCATGCCCCGGGTTTTCCCCGTCTTGCCCGTCGGGATTGAGATGAGTTCAATAGATCTGTTGAATTGTTGGAGAAAAAGTACTTGTTTTTGAACAATAGCCCATTACAGACGGTATTTTCGGAATCGCGATGTGTTTATACAATGAGATTGTCCCTTGAGTAATGGCGATACTGGAGAACTGGTGCTGAAATGATTGAGCTGGCTCACCGTGGAGACTTTCGTCCAAGCTCCGTAGATACACTGAGAGGGGCAGGGCGATGCCTTGGCCGTTGACGGTACTGTATGTTCATGTACCTGACGGGATATATATTGATGATGAAATCGTGATCCCTCCGGAAACAATGACCTCAATCTCCTCAATTGGTGGCTGGACGAGTCAAGTGAGGGGCAATGACCTCAGATTATTGGGCTTTTGCAACTGCACCAAGGCAGCTGCAGATAGCGGAGTCAACATAAACTATTGAATTCGGAGGGCGAGAGACTAAGTTGGACTGACAACGGAAGGCCATAACAGTGGCAGAGAAGGGCCATAATGTAAACACCGGCAAGGCGGCGCTCACGTGGCCGGACCGCTCAATGTTGTTTTTGGGGAGGGGGAGGGAGGCTGGAACCGAGATTTGTTGTGTTTACGGGACGGGGTGTTTGTTTGTTAGGGGGTACGGCTGCTACTAGTAAACTTACAATTTACTGGGTAACGGGAAGTTAGCTTAGCAGTTACTCCGTAACCAACCCCCCCCCTGTCAGCTTATCTAATAAGCTCTCTAGAGCCTGAGGCATTCTACGTTTCCCTGTCAACCGCCCGCACTAGACCTGAATGGGTTCACCACAACATAACAGCAGCCACTTAGCGTGCATCGCAGTTGCCCCAAACGAGTCTCCCATCGGCCTCGAGCCTATCCTCTTCTCGTGCAAGCCAACTTTTTCCTCACCTTCCTCTCTTCCTCTCTTCGTCCTCTCTGGTTATTATAAACTCGACCTTCGCCCACCCCGCGGATCATCTGTACATCCTCCCCTACTCGGCCTTGCTGCCTCTATCCTTACCCTACACGCCAACCCCCCCCCGCGTCTTTATAGCTTCATCTTATGCTTGGAAGTGTCAATCAGACCAGACCATGACTATCTAGCTCCGACATCTTGCTTGCATCCCATCTCTGTTCTTCACCAGCAGAGGTCCTGACCATCCATAGCGGCATCTTATCTATTTAAATCGACACATCCTATAAATCCTTCTTTCGAAGAGGTCTTGCGATTCTTTATTATCCAATCCCATTGTCGGCGCCTCTTGTTTTGGAAGCCGCGTCAATACAGTCAAGATGTCTACACGCAGCGGCGATTATGGGCAGGTGATTGAGTATATTCAAGGTTCGTTATCCAACATCATCCTCGGGAAGCATTGGCGGGAGATGTGAAGGTCTTGGCTTGTTATCCGTTGGCTTGCGTTTGCAGTGTACTAAGAATCTTCGCTCTAGACCGTCTCTACCTGGCCTCTTATGATTATCCCCCCGATGCGAGAACGCCTTTTCCCTACCCTGAACAACCCAAGTCTCCCAGCAAGCGATCTGCCAGAGCTCAGCCCAGTACTCCCAGCAGCAAGAAA